AGTCTGAGGTGACTTCTACGCTGATCAGGTGGTTGCTTACCACCCAGGACACTCGTGGTCGTCGTGTCAGCTGTCTCCACTCCGACCGCGGGGGCGAGTTTCGCTCCGGCATTCTCGCTGGATTCTGTCGCGAACAGGGCATTCGTCAGTCCTGGACGCTTCCGGAGTCCCCACAGCAGAATGGGGTTGCTGAGCGTCGCATAGGCCTGGTCATGGAGATTGCCCGCACCTCCTTGACTCACGCCCGTGCCCCCCATTTCCTGTGGCCATACGCAGTCAGGTACGCCGCGCACCAGCTGAACCTCTGGCCACGCGTCTCTCGGCCGGAGGCTTCACCGACCAGTCTTTGGACAGGGTCCCCTGGTGTCGCGTCGAGGTTTCGTGTCTGGGGGTGCTTGGCTCTTGTCCGCGACACCTCCGCGGACAAGCTCTCGCCTCGCGCCGTTCCTTGTGTCTTCCTTGGTTTCCCTGAGGACTCCTCTGACTTCACCTTTTACCACCCTCCCTCTCACCGGTTCTTTGACTCCCGTGACGTCCGTTTCGAGGAGTCCACCCCGTACTACGTCAGGTACCCCAGTCGAGGTCTCCCGGTTCCTCCTCCCCCCCTCTTCCTGACAGCCGCTCCCCCGCCTGCTCCCCCGGTACAGCCTCCCCCCCCTGGTCCAGCCCCGTCTGGTGTGTCTCAGGCTAGCCCTCCCCCTTCGGTAGCCCCCCCTGTACAGCCTCCCTCCCCACAGTCTTCCTCGCCGCCTCCTGCAGGTGCTCCCTCTCGGGAGGTTGGTCCTGCGACTGTCCCTGTACAGGTCTCTGGTTCTGGGGGTGCTGGAGTTGGAGCTGAGCCGCGGGTTGCAGAGGACTCTTGTCTTCCGGGGGCTGGTACTGGTCGTGCGGAGTCTGGGGGTGCTGGTGCGGAGTCTGGGGGTGCTGCGTCTGGGGGTGAGGGTGTTCCTTCGGTTTCTGGAGAGCCTGGGTCTGGAGCTGGTGTTGGTGCTGCCTCTGGGGGTGGTGTGCTTGGTGCTTCGGAGGTCGACTCTGGGGCTGCCGCTGCCCCGGACACTACTCCTTCCCCCCACCCCTACCCGACCAGGTTCCAGGCTCGTGTTCGCCGTGCTCGTGAGGAGCAGCTGGAGTTGGAGAGAGAGGAGAGAGAGTTGCAGCGGCTCGAGGAGCAGGAGCGACAGCAGCAGGGGCAGCAGCCGCTGGAGCAGCAGCAGCCGCAGCAGCAGCAGCTGCCGTCTCCTCCTCCTGTCTCGGGTCTTCGGACCCTTGGTCTCCCCTCTCCCTCTCCTTCCTCCTCCCCCTCTCCTCCCGTCTCTGGTCCTCCGCTTCCTCCTCCTGACCCCTCTCCCGCTGTTTTCCCTCGTTCTCAGTCTTCGTTGTCCCCTCCTTCTTCTCAGACTTGGGCCTCTCGTCGCTCCCCTCGTGCTCGTCCCTCGTCTCCTGTTCCCTTCACTGACCTTCGTACTGCCTTACTTCGTTCTAGTCCACCTCGTCCGTCTCCGTCTGTGCTTCCGTCTCCTCCTGAGTCGGCTCTCACTGCGTCGCTCCCTACTCCTTTTACTGACTACTACCGCACGTACCGTCCTCTTCTCTCTCGTGTTCTCGCCTCGCTTGTTACTCACCCTCGTGCCTCTGTGTCCTCTGTGTCCGCTCTTACTGCCGCAGTCACTGACTTTGCCTCTACCCGCCGCCTTGACTTCGCCACCGCTCTTGTGGCTGCTCCTCCTTCCAGTCCTCTGGCCGTCGGGGGTGTGTCTGCCCTTGGCTGTGACGCCCTAGAGGACAGGCAGTTTGAGCTAGAGTTCCTGGCGGCCGCTTCCCCTCATCTCTGTGCCATGCTCCTCGCCCCTGAGGGTGACCCCGACGCCCTTGACATTCCGACTCCTCGCACTTACGCTGAGGCAGTGTCAGGGTCTTGGGCCTCTCAGTGGAGAGCTGCCATGGACGCAGAGATGGCCTCCTACAGATCCACAGGCACCTACGTCGATGAGGTTCCCCCTCCGGGGGCGAACGTAGTCGACGGCATGTGGATCTACAGGGTGAAGCGGCCACCGGGATCTCCTCCGGTCTTCAAGGCACGCTACGTGGCTAGAGGTTTCAGTCAGCGCGAGGGAGTTGACTTCTTTCAGACCTTCGCGTCCACCCCGAAGATGACCACTCTTCGGGTGTTACTACACGTAGCAGCACAGAGAGACTACGAGTTACACTCTCTCGACTTCTCTACTGCTTTCCTTCAGGGCAGTCTTCACGAGGAGGTCTGGTTGCGTCGTCCCTCTGCCTTCACTGGCTCTTTCCCTCCTGGGACCCAGTGGAGGCTGAGGCGACCGGTTTACGGTCTTCGTCAGGCTCCTCGTGAGTGGCACGACACCCTGCGTTCTACCCTGTCTGACCTTGGGTTCCAGCCGTCTTCTGCTGACCCGTCGCTGTTCGTTCGTCGTGGCCCCACACCTTTCTTTGTTCTGGTCTACGTTGACGACCTTGTTTTCGCCACCCCTGACAGGGTTGCTTTGGCACACGTGAAGTCCGAACTGCAGAAGAGACACACCTGCACTGATCTTGGTGAGCTGCGCCACTACCTTGGCCTGCAGATCACCAGGGACAGAGCTGCTCGCACCATTACACTTTCACAGTCGCACATGGTGCAGCAGGTCCTTCAGCGGTTCGGGCTTCAGCACTCCACAGTACAGCGCACACCTCTTGCTGTTGACCACAGACTCACTGGACCCTTTCCTGACGAGCCGTTCGAGCCTAGTGGTCCCTACGCAGAGCTTGTGGGTTGCCTCATGTACCTGATGACTTGTACTCGCCCGGACCTCGCCTTCCCTCTCAGCGTTCTTGCGCGCTTTGTTGCGCCAGGGAGACACCGTCCTGTTCACTGGACAGCAGCTGTGAGGGTGGCGAAGTACCTAGCGACGACGTCAGGCGTGGGGCTAGTTCTTGGAGGGCAGCAGTCTGTCGTACTTACTGGTCACTGTGACTCCTCTTACGCTGACGACGCTGAGACTCACAGGTCTACTCAGGGGTACTGTTTCAGCCTGGGTTCTGGAGCTGTTTCCTGGCGGTCCACGCGCTCCTCTTCGGTCTCGACCTCTACAGCTGAGGCTGAGATCTACGCTGGTGCCATGGCGGCACAGGAGCTGCGTTGGTTGACCTTCTTGCTCACCGACCTTGGTGAGCGGCCGAGCTCTGCACCGACCTTGTTCACTGACAACAAGGCGTCTATTCTCCTTTGTCGAGAGCCACGACTGGAGAGCAGAGTGAAGCACATTCACGTCAGGTACTTTCTTCTGCGAGAGTTGCAGAGGCGTGGACAGGCTCGCTTTGAGTTTGTGGAGTCCGAGGCCAACACTGCAGACATCTTCACCAAGGCGCTTCCGCCTTGTGACCACCAGAGGTGCTGTGTGCAGTTAGGCCTTGTTGACACTGGTTCTCGTGTTGCTTAGGCTTGAGTGTACTGTTTACTTTGCTTTCTATATACCTCTGTTACTTCTTGGACTGGCCTTGTGGCCACTGTTGTTTGTGCTCAGACTGTGTGGTGACGTTGTGATCCACCCTGAGCTTCGTTTCTTGGACTGGTCTTGTGACCGTACTCGTTTGGTTCTGCTAGACACCCCTCACTTAGGCTATGGGGGTGTGTCAAATGTTGTAGCCTATAGTGAGGTTTGTCTTAGGGGGTACAAAACTTAGGGTTAGCTATATGTACCCCAACCAACATCAATGCATCCATCCATTCCTCATTTTGACACAACCCTGTTCTTCTGTCCTGACCGGCCATGCATGGTTATGTGTGCCGCGAAATTGGATTCTCAGCGGCTGCCCATCAAGAACATCAACGGTTCTCACCGCGCGACAGCCTGAATCCGAATACTGACTGCAGCGGTAGTACTTCCTTAGGAAACTGGCCTCCCCTCTCGGAGCGATGACCTTGTTTCCATGGTTGTGCCATCTGTACTTCTCACCACTCAAATCCTCCATGCTTGCGGATGCAGATGCATGCGAAGATGGAGCATTGGAACCAGACATAGTAGATTCAGCAGCGGTAGGAGTGGAATGTACCGACGCGGATGGAGCTGTTGGGGTGGTAGGAGTGGGAGTGGAGGTCGCATGTTCGATGAGTTTCGCCCTCTTGTTGCCTTTCTTCCTCATCTCGCTATCAGTCTTTTCAAAGGCCGAGGCTGCTCTGCTGCTGAAGCCTTTTGAGACGTCTCAAAAGGCTGCACTGCTGCTGAAGCTGTCTGCACCACAGCGGGTGAAGCGCCTCAATATGGTCCGACTGCAGAAAATCGGGGCTCGTGACACACCTCTATCCAATCAGAAAGGAAGCTTTGCATTGAAGCCGATGGTTGAAGCCGCCTAGGAAGGTCCGACTCCATAAAATCCGGGTTCGGCGAACCATCTGTACAAAAAACACGTTCTACCTACCACAACTGTTATAATTTGTGCGTTTACAGTTGTGAGTCTAATCATTTACATCCACACTTACATATGTCAACCACTTCCTCCCAGATACAATGAGATTGTGATCTCAGTTACGACTGCATGCTTTGTACATTTTTCCAGTGTATCATTGCATAAAAAATGAATTTATGATCTATTATTTCTTAAATCCGTTCAACTCATGGTCTGGCACCAACACGGCCACACGCCGTCTGGCAGGAGGAAGGGCGCACCAGAGTATTGAGCTAAGACGAGAAGGAAGCAGAAGCTGCTCAATAAAGCACTTGCGATAAGAGAGAGGACAGAGGCTCAAAAGCATGCGATGCCGCTAAGAAAGCACGAGACATGCGTGCAAGACCTCAAGAAGCTTTACCGTGGTCACATACTCCAGGCTATCATATTCACATGCATAGGTTATTGACGCGCTGTATTAGATCGCAATCAGCTGACTCGCACAGTCGTTACCATCGAATCAAGGTCAATTTAGTCAGTAATATCCTAGGGTAGGAAACAGTGCACGTAGGCAGGTAGGCAGATTCTACACCTGCAGCATACAATGGGCCTCACACACCCTCTGGACAACCCTGCTCTTCTGTCCTGGCCGGCCATGCATGATTATGTGTGCCGCGAAACTGGATTCTCAGCGGCTGTCCATCAAGAACATCAACGGTTCTCACCGCGCGACAGCCTGAATCCGAGTACTGACTGCAGCGGTAGTACTTCCTTAGAAAGCGAGCCTCCCCTTTTGGAGCGATCACCTTGTTTCCATGGTTGTGCCATCTGTACCTTTCACCACTCAAACTTACCTTGCTTGCAGATGCAGACGCATGCGAAGCAGGGGCATTGGAACCGGACGTAGTAGATTCAGCAGCGGTAGGAGTGGAATGGACCGATGTGGAGGGAGTGGTTGGGGTGGTAGGAGTGGGAGTGGAGGCCGCATGTCCGATGAGTTTCGCCCTCTTGTTGCCCTTCTTCCTCATCTCGCTTATCAGTCTTTTCAAAGGCCGAGGCTGCACTGCTGATGCCTTTTGAGCTGCCTCATAGGGCTGCTCTGCTGCTGCAACCTTTTGAGCCGTCTCAAAAGGCTGCACCGCTGCTGACGCTGGCTGAACTGTAGCGGGTGAAGCGCCTCCGGTCAGCCCAAACGTTTTCATTTGGAAGGGGAAGGCAGGAATCCACAAGTTGTTGCCCCATAAGGCGTATGGGGTGTATGCCACGTCTGGCACTGGCAGGTGGTGGCTGTAGCTCAGATTCCAAGCAGGCTTGCTTTGAGACGTCTCAAAACTCGGATTCCAAACAGGATCCCGAAGGAAAGCAGAAGGGCGGAAGGGCTGACAGCTGCCCAAAGGGTCTAATGGCAAATCACCGATAATTTCAGGCCCAAGCGTCACACTCCCCTCGCCCCTTGACCCTGCCAGCTCGGCTCCTTGCGGCACAGTGGCGACCCGGATTTTCTTGCCAATGGCCACCGCGCCTTTCGGAGAAGCAGGGGGCTCGGGTTCGTTAAGAGCAGCCACGTTAAGAGCAGCCTCGCTTAATGCCTGTAGTTTTTCTGGGCAGTGCGGAGAATCTCGGTCGCCATCTCCCACACTGCTGCTAGCCACCAGCGTTAAGCCGCTACTACCGTCTCCCATGCTGCTAGCCACCACCACTTTGCCGTTGCTGCCGTCTCCCGAGCCTCTGGTAACCACCTGCACTTTGCCGTTGCTGCCGTCTCCCGAGCCTCTGGTAACCAGCGCTGTGCCGCTGCCGCCCTCACAAGGAGCAGTGCAGCTCGGTGCGACGCGTGCAGAAACAATGCTGCCGTCTCCCATGCTGCTGCGAACCACCTGCAGTGTGCCGCTGGTAACCACCTGCTCTGTGCCGCTGCCGCCGTCTGCTGTGCCGCTGGTAACCACCACTGCGCCGCTGCCGCCCTCGTCCCCAGCAGCAGCGTTGCTGCCGGCAAAACAGCCATTCACACTCGCCAAAACTCGGTTGCCGCCCTCCATGATGCCGCTGGTGACCAGCGCTGCGCCGCTGCCGCCTTCACATGCAGCAGTGCCGCTGCCGCCTTCACATGCAGCAGTGCCGCTGCCGCCTTCACATGCAGCTGCGCCGCTGCCGCCTTCACATGCAGCAGTGCCGCTGCCGCCTTCACATGCAGCTGTGCCGCTGCCGCAGTCGCCATTCCCCATGATGCTGCTGGTAACCAGCGCTGTGCCGCTGGTAACCAGCTCTGCGCCGCTGCCGCGCTCGTCCCCAGCACCAGTGAGGCTGCCGCCTAATCCGCCATCCTCTCTCTCCGCGTCCCCACACAACATGATGCCACCCAGCGCCTCTATGTTACCCAGCACTGAGCTTCTCTTCATGAGCTTCGCCCTCTCATTCCCCCTCCTCCTTATCTCCCTTTTTTGTTCTTCTGAGAACTTCCGTTTGTCCCCCGCCTTGGAAGCTCCTTCCGGCTGCACCCTTGCGAAAGCCGACTGTTCTGCAGCGGGTGAAGCGCCTCCGGTCGATCCCAGGGGCAGCGGTTGAAGGAATACGGCGTTTGGAATTTCTGCCAGGTGCTTGTCGCTGACGTTCTCAACAGAATCAAGGGGAAAAAGCAGGGCACGGGTCGATGGACGCATGCCCAGAGGGTTACACGGATCCTGCAAAGGTGCGCCATTGATGCGTCCACACCCGATGTCACACGGCGGCGAATCAGTGGTCGCTGAAACTCGCTGCATGTTGGTGCCTCCAGTGGTGTACGCGTTCCTTGCACCGTCGTCGCCACCACTCGCACCCGCCTGTCGTTTCACGCGCTTCAGCTGCTGCAACACTTGTGTGAGGGTCAGCCCCGTACCGCCATCACCAACGCCAGCAGTCACTGCTGCGGTATCACCACCAGCAACGGCGGCGCCAACGCCAGCACCCTGGCTCCCGTGGTGCTGCTTTGCCGCGGCGTCACCTTTTGCACCAGCATCGGCGTTAGAAATAGCATCAGCGTCAGCACCTGCGGTAGCAGCAGCAGCAGCAGCAGCGGCAGCAACACCAGCGCGAGCGCCGGCAGCGTCACTCACGTGTGGCTGCGCTGCCGTCGCGTGAGCTTCCGCATCAAGAAAGGCATTAGTAGCATCAGCGTCAGCATCGGCAGCATCAGCGCTAGCACCATCACGAGCCGCGCCGGCAGCCTGACTTACGTGCTGCTGCGCTGCCGATTCCGTTTCCGAGTCCAAATCGACTCTCGGAATCGCCGTCTGCTGAGCAGAATCGCCGCCTATCAGCGTTTCTGGTTCACCGCGGCCTAATGTTAGCATGAGATTTAATTCAACCATGATTGCCAGATTCAACTTCTTCTTGAGTACTATCGGGACAAGCGTGCAGAGCATAAAAGAAGCGATTTCGAGAAAAAAAGGTCGTAAGTGTCGCTTCAAACTAGTTGCTTCTTGAGAACGCCATGCTGATGAGACACGTCATCTACGCGAACCACATCGCTTCCAGTTTGCGACCTACCGTAGCCCGTTACCTCGCTAAATCACATCAAGTTCTACAGTGCAGTACAGTCCGAGTGAAATACCCTATAAGTATAGCCACCGTTGAGTCACATCTGTATGGTCCGAGTGGCTGGGTTGAAGGCAAGCCTTGTGGGGCTCACCGAACATCATTTCGATTTTTCCGGACGGTTCGGACAATTACCACTCTGAAACGTATTGAAACCCACTTGAACAAAGCGTTCTACAAATAGACCAATTTAAAACGTTCTGACTTAACATCCAGTCACTGCAACGGTACAGTACGGTACTGTAATTTGGTCCGACTGGGTTCTAGCAACCTGGCATGGCTGCGAGGGTTTGGCTGGGGATACGGAGGTTGGTCTGATTGGGCTGAGGCAACAGACCAAACCAAACCAACGATGGTCCGACTCCCACCGAACATTTGCCGGGGGATGGTCTGAGGGGCGTGGCGTGGACCACACTCAACCTCGTCCAACCTTGGGGAAGATTTCGTAGCCCTAACGGCATTCTACCGCACAAAACCGCCATTCATGTGGTCCCTCTTGCAACACTGGCTTGGCGAATCAAGAAACAAGAAATGTTACAAGAGTTCGCAATCGCCAAAAAGAAAAAAAGTTCGACTATTTCGTTTGGTAGTTACCACCCTCCGTAGGAAGGTGCAGAACTCCTCAACAACCGCGAAACCACACCGAGCACGTAAAACGATTTTCCGATCGGTGGAAAATGGATTTGCCTGGTGAATCTAACGGTGAAGAAGCTTCGTCGCATGACAAAACCTGAGCTTTCCTGTCACGTATGCCTCTCGCGCGAAGTCGCTTCTCACCTCCTGCGCACGGAATTTTCTCCAGGATTCAACACGTTTGAAAATCCAGATTCGTGTCAACATGCATGGGTTGGAATAGAAACGCGGCTCCTGCCAATCCGAGCATATTCGAGCACCTGCTCCCTAGAATTCTTTGGAAGGTCAAGCATAACTAGGTTGAGAACAGATGACGTACTGAGTCAGGTTTGTTCCGTCCGAAGAGCTATTGCTACGATTGCTATATTCAGCCTCGTGATTTATTTCTATGAAGGTCTCACATCTTTCTTGTATCCCCTGCACGTTTGTTTCTTCACGTCCGGCCCTAAAATTCTCGATGTAGACGCCGGGATCACGGCTAATTTTAATGGGTGCACTACGATAAGGGGAAGTAACAGCCAGAAGCAATAGCCCGCTCCCGCTCTTTTCCCCTGTTGCACGATTCGGCGGAAACAAGAATTGGAGAGTCAACCAGACCTACAGGCCCACGGAGATACCGAAGCCGCAGGCAGAACGTCACAAGCGAGTGAGACTACGACGGTCGTGATTGTGCAAGACTGCTGCTCCACATCCACCACCATTTCTTGTTCCCGCCCTCGTGCCACTGTACCTTCCACAGCGGGCTCGCCTTTTCCAGGGGATTCTCTATCGCCTGTAGGCTCCCTTTTGCCAACTTACGTGCTGTATGTAAGTGAATCAGCGATCCTTTGTTCTATGCACCATGTGATCAATATATTGCACTCGGTATCAACCCAACACAAAAAATCAAAAGCAACAAAACTAAGCCATTTTAGTGGCACAGAGTATACAGTCAGTATTGGGCCTTACAAACCCTGTGTACGACCTTGTTTTCTCTCCTCGTGGCCGCATTATCGATAGTTATAATCAGTGGTTATGAGCTCCCTCAAACGTAGGTCTCTGCCCGGGAACATCATCAACGTATTTCCTAGCCCGACAGCCAGTCGAATATTGACTGCAGCGGTAGTGCACTCTCTTGAAGGAAGGTTTCCCTTTCGGTTTAAGGGTCTTGTTTCCGTTGTTGTGCCACGTGTAATTTGCAGCTGCAGACGTATCAGCAGCGATAGTAGTAGAAGGTGCTGATGTGGAAGCGTTCGGTTGCACCGTTGCTAACGCCGGCTGTCCTGCAGCGGGTGAAGCGCCTCCGATCAATCCCAATGTTTGCGGTTGAAGGGGTAAGGTGTGCGGCACTTCTGCCGGGTAATTGTGGCTTATGTTCTGAGTGGACTGCAGAGGCAAAAGAGGGGGGCGAGCCTCCCGACAAGTGCTCCGGGGGCTAGAAGTTGAGCCACTCAAACTTCTAGACCCAATGTTCTCCAGCTCCGAAGTTCGCTGCGTGTTGGCGGTCGACGCAGGCCTGGCGACGGCTTTGTTACCACTCGCACCCGTTCGCCTTTTGTCTCGCTTCATCTGCTCGAGCACTTCTCTGAACGTCAGCCCCCTACCGCCATCACCAGCGCCATCAGTATCACCGACGACAGCGCCAACGCCGGCACTCTGGCTCCTGTGCTGCTGCTCTGCCGTAGTGACGCCTATCACATCAGCATTGGCATCATAGGTAGCATCGGCGGCAGCGCCCGCTCCCGCGCCCTGGCTCACGAGCTGCTGCTCTGCCGTGGCGTCACCTTCTAGATTTAAAAAGGCTTTAATCGTGGCATCGGCGTCAGCATCGCACATTGGCGTGGTGGGTCTGTTACGATGATAATCAGCTTGATTCTCCCACATCGCAGTCAAATCACCAAATGGATCGCCTTGTTCTCCTTGTTCGCCTTGTTCGCCTTGTTCGCCTTGTTCGTCTAGCAGTTCGCAGGACGAAATTCCTGACGGCGCCATGGCGCCGCCGCTTGGAAAATCCGAGGCCACTCCATTGGCAGCCGCTCCATAGGCGGGTGCACCAGGTTCGGCCAAGCCGCTCGCGTTAAAAACGTTAAGGCTGGGTCGTGCGCACAGGTGGAGGCTGCTATCCAGGAAATCGTAGTCGCCAGTGGAATGTGTTATCGAAGAAGATACCATTCGAGTGGGATGTGTTGAGCCGAAGTGTCAGTGAAACCCTAGCAGCAGATCGGTTTAGGGGGATGAATGGGATGCGAAGACCCGTCAGACGCGGGGTTGACTGGCTTGGCGTTCGATGTGTAGAATTCGCCAAGGCCTTAACGGAAGCGCTGACAGATTTGTCAGTGTTAAGATTAATGGCGGGATAGGGAGCTCATTTGCCTGCAGAACTCTTCTATTAGAAAAGTATAGTAATGCCTAAATCACAGGGCGAGAGGGAGACACCGACCTGTTCCCCTATTGTATACAATGGGAGAGGCAGTGGGTGGAAGGAAAATGCCATGAAGGGGCCGTAAATGCGTGCTATTATGTCACTCCCCTCCAAGCATCGCCGCCTTCTGGCTTTTGCGGCCAACGTTTCCGCTCGTGCGCTGAAGCCGAAGTCAGGCTGGATTCCTCCTGAGCAACAGAGAGGGAGTGAAGCGAACGCCGCATATCCTCCAAGTGGAATTTCTTTCCCCTGGCAATGTCTGTCGTCGACGAAAGTGGGCACTATTTGGTAACGCTTTTAGTGGGCACTATTTGGGCTTTTGGTTCACCTGAAACAGCTGTCGGGGGTCCCAGCTGGAGGGTGGAGCCGTGCTTTATTGCAATTGTGTTGTGTAGCCACCTGAACGAGCTGTCGTTTGTGTTTGTGATTTCTTGTACAGAAACAATGGTTCACGTGCTGGTCCGAATAGAAAATATCGTGATGAAGCAACGTGATTCGTTCAACCAAATACACCAATCAAAATGAAAGCTTTGCGTTGGCTCGGACCGTATGACCATGGGCTGAAGCAACCGACGATGGTCCGACTCCAAAGATCTGGGGGTCGATCTCACGTGGATCATCTCGTCCACCAGATTCGTGTACCCCACCACGTTTACCTCTCAAAACTGTCATCATTCATCTGTTCTCTCATGTGTTACAGTTCACGCATCACTGAAAGCGGCGAGTCGCGCGGTCCAGGGCCTT